TGAACGACTCCTGGAGCAACTGGAGCAGGAGATTGCTGATCTTAAGAGGAGAGTCACTGAGCTGGAGCAGCTTTCACACACACACGATCACATCCACTTCCTCCAGGTAACACTCAGTGTCTGATCTACAGAGGGCGCTGTTCCTCACAAAGTTTCCTCCTAAAAGCTCATTACAGTGACAATAAATGTTCCTGTCTGAGATCACAAGTGTGTCTTTGTGTCTGATTCAGTCTGAGATTCATTCGTTCCTCTCCTACACTTTTCTCCTTCTCTATTATGTGTTTCCTCTCTGTAGAGTTTCCCGTTTCTCTGTGTTTCTCCTGGATGTGAGGACTCACCCAGCTTCACTGTCAATCAACATCTCTCATTTGATGGAGTGAGAAAATCTCTCTCAGATCTGAAAAAACGAGTTGAGAAAATATGTGAGAAGGAATTCAACAAAATCCGTCCACAAGGTAAACAAGCAAACATTTGTTTTCTGTCACAGTAAAGTGAGCCATAAAATTTCATTACAGGAACAAGAAGCAATTCGCAAATTCGAAACTTACAAAATTTTCTGTTTACAAAATTAAGATAAACAAAGTCAACAGAACTTAGTCACAAATCCACAAACTAATCTTACATTTGTGGAGAAAATCATAGTGTCACCTGTGGCAGGTGGTTTTTTTTTTTTTTTTTACAATAGGGGAAGCACAGCTATCTGTAATGTTTTATATATACATATGCACTCTTGTTTAGTTTTGTCAGTCTCTCCTTATATGTATGAGCATCAAAAGACTTTTCTAAAATCAGGTCAACAACATTAGCAGTTTCTGCAGTTTGTGCCAAAGAGCAGTTAAGCTGCTAGCTGAAGAAGGTCATGACAGCTAGCTATACTTTGTAACTAGCTATACAACTGTGAAGTAAAACAACAACAATTTCAGACATTATTGCAAATAATCAAACAGAACTTATTACTTATAATTTATTTACAATATTTACAAATTACAAAGATAAAATAATACTTGTGTGTAAAACTGTTTTGGATTAGGATTCTTTCTTTGATTGGCAGTTACAAGGTTACAAGGTTCTGCCCCTTTGAGAGATCTTCCAGTAATCATATGGAGAAGCTGTGCATCAGGGCGGGGCGAGCAAAGAGTGCACAGTCCAATTAATGTGGAGATTTATATTTCTGTGCAAAACCCACCTGCCCACATTGTCATTCACCCCCAGAGAAGCACAGCTTCTGGGCATGGCTCAAAACGATTTGTTAATAGCCTGTTGTCCAATGAGCATTAATCTGTGCTCCCATTAGAACACAGTGTACATGAATCTGCCCTAGAAACCCATAAAATCCACTGGATCTATCAAAGTGATTGTGATAAATGAATGAAAAGCCAGAAATGGGTGGGTTGTTCCCTTCAGGTTGGGAATGAGATACTGCCTCAAGCAAAGGAGTTTAAGTATCTTAGGGTCTTGTTCACGAGGGTAGAGTGGAGCGAGAGATTGACAGATGGATCGGTGCAACGCCAGCAGTTATGCAGACATTGTACTGGTCTGTCGTGGTGAAGAGAGAGTCGAGCCAAAAGGCGAAGCTATCACTTTACCGGTCAGTCTACGTCCCAACCCTCAACTATGGTCATGAGCTTTGGGTAGTGACAGAAAGAATGATTTCATAGACACAAGCAGCAGAAACAAGCTTTTTTCGCAGGGTGGCTGGGCTCAGCCTTACAGTGAGCAGCTCGGACATTCGGGGGGAGCTCAAAGTAGAGTCGCTGCTCCTCTGCATCAAAAGGAGCCAGTTGAGGTGGTTCAGGCACCTGGCTAGGATGCCTCCTGGATGTCTCCCTGGGGAGGTATTCCAGGCATGTCCAATGGGGAGAAGACCCCGGGGCAGACCAAGGACTAGATGGAGAGATTATATCTCCCGTCTGGCCTGGGAGTCCCTGGGAATCCCTGTGGAGGAGCTGGAGGAGGTGGCTAGGGAGAGGAAGGTCTTGGCATCTCTGCTTAGACTGCTGGCCCCTCATGTCATGTGTTCTCTCTCACTGTCATGTGCATTTGCTTTGATTTATATCTTGTCTCCACCCCTGTCTTGTGATTGGTGTTGAGCTCTACTATACGGAGCTGTTACTTGTTTAGTTACTGATTGGTTTTAAGCCCTTGCGTTTCATTGTTTCACTGCTAAGTCTCACCCATGTAAATGTGCATTTCCAAGGCATGTTTACCTGTCTTTCCCAATTCCTTGTTTCTTGTATATCTAGTTTGACTTCCTGGTTTTGATCTCTGCCTGTGTGTCTGATAACGATTATGGATATTTATGCAATAATCCTGTCTGCTTGTGACATGACCGATGCCTTGAAATATAATAATGACTACTGATTTTCCCTGAATAAACAGCACATTGATTTTACACACTAAAGTCCTGCTTTGTCAACCCGCACATAACACATAGATAAATTCAAATCTGATAGTCAACCCACTGAGATGGGGATATAGTTGATTTTTCATATGCTTTAAACTGTTTCCATGTTATTTCTCCATTTTGCCTCTGTGTCTCCACAGCTGCAGCAGTTCAGATGATTTTACCCTCAGAACCAAAAAGCAGAGAAGATTTTCTGCAGCGTAAGTGTAAAACACACACACACACACACACACACACACACAGGGTGTGTATTGTTTATCCATTGTTTGACCCATTTTTACCTGATGACTGATATTGGATAATGTTTAAAATATTTCCTATAGAGCAGCATTAGGAGGATAGAAACACAGACAGGTCTCTCACACACTTATAAATCCTTATTATAAATCCTGGGATTAACGTCTAACCTGTGGACATTTTATTGTTTTAGATTTCTGTTATTTGACTCTGGATCCCAACACAGCATATCGTAAACTCGTTCTGTCTGAGAAGAACAGAGCAATGACATGCAGTGGGGCAGATCAACGATACTCTGATCATCCAGAGAGATTTGACTACTGGACTCAGGTGTTGTGTAAGGAGAGTGTGTCTGGACGCTGTTACTGGGAGGTGGAGTGGAGCGGTTTTGGTGTGGACATATCAGTCTCATATAAAGAGATCAGCAGGAAAGGAAAGGGTAATGAGTGTATGTTTGGACGCAACAGTCAGTCCTGGAGTCTGTGGTGTTCTTCTTCCTCTGTCTGTTTCCGGCACAACAACATTGAGACTGAGCTCCAAAGTCCAGCGTCCTCCAGAATAGGAGTGTATGTGGATCA